GCGCAATTTGTTCTAAAAATAGAAAAATTGTCCCATATCATAGGTGCGCGCGAATCCCGAGACTTACGGTCTCCGTCCCCGATTATGGCTCCTGCTTTAGACGAAAACCTATTCAAAGAAACTTTTGCTCGATTTTAATTCATTATGCACATGTTAGCGCCGATCGTCTTCGATTTGCAGCAACCAAGAGTGAAATATTCTCTTCTGAGCTAATTCGATCTATCAGATAATTGGTGAAATTTTCCTATCTGCCTATTTTAGCCCTAAACAAGAAGAACGCGGCTAAATCTTGCAAGGAAATCAAACAGAGAAAGAAAGGCGCGGAGTCTGGTGTCTACTGGATTAATCCCGATGGCGAACACCCGACCCAGGTCTACTGCGATCAGGAAACGGATGGCGGAGGCTGGACTCTAGTTTACAGCTACACTTTTACAAACTTCAAGTAATAGACCCTTTGCATGAATGGCGCCTACATTTAAATAACAATACTTATACATCCGTAGCCTCACAATCATGTAAAAAAATCCTTTGTCTTGAAACATGAGAACGAGGCTAAGGATGTATAAACTATTGTCATTCAAATTTAGGCGCCATTTATGCAAAGAATCTATAAAACTAATTAACCAATTTATTCGTGGTTAGAGATCATTCATCTATACGTGGACTTCAGGCACCTTAATAAACACCAAGAGATTATGATATTCTCTTGCAATTAAATACCAAACAGAAGGGAATCGGGCGATTCGAAACAACAAAGCGTTTCGAAAAAAGCAACTTGTAGAAGAACTAATCACATCGGCAATTTTTGTCACTTGCAATTACAGCTGCTTCTGATTATTCTTGTTTATGAAGCAGAGCGTTCACACTGTCCTGTCTCTGAGCGTTCACACTGTCTTTTCTCTGAGCGTTCATACTGTCTTATCTATTCAGACGATAAAACGGGTATTCTCAAGCTTCACCCTGACAACAAGGAACTAAGAGGTTAATTCTACTGAAGTTCTTACAGATAACAAAGCGGGTCTACATGAGCTTATCAAGGCGGACAATTACACTCATACACGCTAAGTTTCCACTACTCTGTAATGGGCATACTGTACTTATCCAACCGTCAGGAACACAATTCAGACGGTTTTCATCAAGAGAATAATCCTTTTCATTCAAGGTTAACGTTGAAGTATACGTAGTAAGCTAGCTTCCAAACTGCCTAAAACTTCTCTACCGTAGGCTTCATGAAAGAGTTTGGTTTTAGGCCTAAACTCCAATACTAAACGAAAAATACCTTGATGCCACACCCTTATCCATGACTCGGTTCAAGCCCCGAAGGATAAACATTGCATGTCGGTTCACATTTCTCCCACAACGTATAAACACGATATTCTTAGCGCTGGAACTCGTTGTCTTTGCATTTCTTTTAACAGAGGTTTTAGGACTACTTCAAATGCCATTACTCCACGTCCCAGCTGGCCAACCTATGGTGACATCCCAGTGTCGACCACAGCTCCTGTCAGCGAGACAGACTATAACGCCATGAACTTCAACCTGTGGAAGAAACTAGGCCACGAGTTAATGATCAAATCTAACATCAACCACTGGATCGCTTGCAAAGAAGGAACCGGAAGTCTGCTGGAATTCAGGCCAGGAACTCTACAGTGTCAAGTCATCAAGAATGTCGCATCCAAGTGTCATGGCTATGTTCCCGACGAGCTTATTTTCAACACCGCTGGCAACCCAGGTGGTATGTCCGTGGGCCCTGATCTGATTCGTTCCCAGAGCACCACGCGACTGAAGGAATATTATTACTTTGATGGGAACACTCGCACTAACTGGCCTACCCATGATCCTTGCGGCACTAACGCCTTAAATCACCTCACCAATAATGTCGCTAATCCTCATGGCAATATCTACATCCGGGAATGATGGGCGTAGTCACGGCAACGATGAATTCTTAGTGGTTCTTCATTTATTAATGTGATTTAAAGGGTGAAACAGCGTTTACGAGCTAGGGGACATAATGAAAATGCGAATAAAGACATTTGTCTTGGCAACTTACTCTTGTGTTATATATTCTCTTCTATATTGGCAATCGATAAGAAACAGGGTTAATTTTCAGCTCGATTCAAAGTTTTAGAGTTGTAATTAAGATATGCATAAGAGCCATATCAAGTACTACGACCTCACGGTAACACAAAGTTCTTCTCACTGCGGCGAACAAGACTAGCGCTTGTTTGAAACTCGACAAAATTTTGATTTAGTTTGTATTTGTCTTGTCCTACGTGCGCTCGACTCGAGAAGTCGTATTAACGGGCTCGGTTAAAGTTTTGTGTTGAAAGAAAACAAATTCCAAAGACTGTAAAAGTGCATTAACGAGCTGTGATTGTTCACAGATCTATTGTGTGGGCCTGATAAAGAAGCTGTCACAATGATAATATTAACAGCTTATGTGAATCAACAAAGATCTATGAAAGTTTCTGAAGATATCCAGAGATTGCAGAAAATTTTCGGAAACCTCTCTAAGAATTGATCTTGAAGATTTACAAACGGAGCGTTTTTTACTGTGTGATTGTGCAATTAGCTATTGTTCAAAGAATGCTTGCTTGTTCGAGTGTTCCGTGCAGAAGAGGTTCCTCCCCACCCCGTAGGTTGCCAGACAAAGACATGAAAGCATTCTTTCATCGACCGTTAGCTAGCTAATTAAAATTCTACAGAAACGGCATTTAACGGAAGCATATGATTTTTCAGACTATAGTTATTAGAGATGGGTGGTTATGAAGTCCGCTAAACATGAAAGGAGCAAACAAAGATACCAAAATTTATGTTGGAAGGTCCACGACCATGCGCAATCTTTTGTTTTGAGCTCATACACTTTGCATGTTTTGCTTGACCGAAACGCCGTTTCTATTGTATGGTTAGTTCCTCAGTCAGCAGTAAACAACTATTGTACATGTGTTTTGTGCGCGGTCAAAGCCATGAAAGAGAACAAAACACACGACAAAGAACTTTGTTGGACTTCATAACCATTCCCCGCTAGTAACTATGATCAAACTGAGTTAAAATGTGGAAAACTTAGGTGTAGAAGAGCGGAGAAATTGGAATGAAAACAACAACAACTTTTCTCTGTAAGATAAGACTTTTTATTTAATCAATATCAAATTTGAAGCCGTTCATTCTGTGAGAAAACAATACCAGCCTAAGCTGCCTTAAAATAGGAATAACTGACGAATTATTTGTACCCCTGGGAATACGTGATTGTATGCACTTCAATAAATTGAATTGCGTTCAGGAGAGATCTCTATATAAACCCACTTTTCATTCAGTGATTTGTCACCTCAAAATTGGAGAGTCAGTGAGAGGAACAAAGATCGTGAGAGAGCAAGGTGAGTTCAAACACTTCAATCTGCGAATGTTAGCTAAAGAGTCTACAAAACCAGAGGAGGGCACTTTGTGGAGAGTTCGAAATGCGCTACATGTAAGACCCTAAAAAAGCCGTGCAATTCTTATTCGCTTTTGTTTAGATTTCACGAGCAAAGCTTTATGAAACGTATTCATTTCTCTGTCCCATTTCTTTTGCCGTGGTGGCGTTTTCGTTGTGAGTTGGCAGTCGGGTCTCAGTGTTTAGTGAAATTCCGAAGTGTTTTTGTTTACGTTCATAGGAAAATGGTCACCGTGTAACCCGCCCAAAGATTCCATCATTCTGTTATTGACGTGTAATCTACGTAACCATAGACAAGCCACCAACCGTAAAATCGCACGTTAAGGAACCCGGTTATAAGCCCCACCTCCAGATATAAGCCCTTCTATTTG